CGTGAGACAGACTTGAAACTATTGTACTGCAAATTAAAAATGTCCTTTTATGAACATATAACTTGTCAGCCAAGATCTTGGACACCTGGTCATGTCTGGTTTGTGGAGGAGTCAGCTGTAATGTCGCGGTGGTGCTGAGGGCTCTGTGTGCCAACAGGGTTAAAGGTGTGAGAGCTGAGGCTGGGTTTGTGAGGGAGCTGGTTACCACCAGGTTACCACCCTGCCATTGTCCCAGAGAACCTTTGATCAAGCCCACATTTATTGCAGGGATGGTCAGTGAAACCCCCTTCTCCCCAGGTGGGCAGGGTGGCCTTGTCACCACCAAGCTGAGTCCTTTCTCTTGTCCTCTGCCAGCAGGGAGGATGGGTGCAGAGGACCAACTTGCCAGGCACTGTCCAACTCTCAGTCTCTAGTAGAGGTCAGAAAAGTTATTGCGACTGCTGATAGTGATATGTATCTTTTAACTGCTGGAGGAGATTTCTGGGAATGTATCCAAACTGCATGGCGTTTCTGCAGCCTTTTGTTAGGGGCATAAAGAAGTGTAATCTTAAGAGCTGTCAGAATTTGAGATTTCGGAAGCATTTTACTGTGAATGTTGAATGGCCGAGTGATGCAGTGCGTCTGGAGAGGGTGGCTGATGGTCAGGACCTTTGGTAAGACACTTCTTGCTTTCCACGGGGCCTGATTCAAAACTATTTCCCTCCCACATTTCTGGTGTTTTTCTTTTATATTCTTGACTTTTATCAGCTGAGCAAGGAAAAAGAGTACAAAGTCTTTATCTAGACTTTACATTCCTGATTTACATTTATCTTGTGCAGGATGTTTATACTGTCTGCTGGATAATTCTTTCATTACATAGGAGAATTACATACTTGTACAAGTGAGAAATAATTGGTACAAATGTTGCTTTAATTTGCTGTTTAATCAGAACCAAATGCAGTCTGGGGAAGTGAATGCCATAGTGCCAAGGTCATGAGAAGGGATTGGATGTTGTTGTGGCTTAAAGAAGATGTGAAAAACTGTAATGTGGAAACCTGAGTTCAGGTTCTGCCTTGCTTTGCCATTTGAGATTTAACTTCTTGTGTAAGAGTTGTCTGAGGTTTGGGGATTAGGCCCCCAAGTGTCAGCATTAAGGGCAGCAGAGGGGCAGGAGGTGGCTGCTGTGAGCACCGGCAGTGGTGATGGAGCTCTGTGAGCGTTGCTTGATTTGGTTTTTTTGCAGGATAGTGCTACTGTGTTTGTTGTGGCTGAAAATCTTTCTAAGGGAGTCTCCAAGGCCTCAGGGATTGAAGTGATTCTCATTTGGGAAGAGGTGAGAAATTGTGTCAGAAATACTAAGTGTCAGCTGTCAGTGCCCTGAACAGAAACAGTCAACTAGATGAAGTATTGTACTGCAGCCTCTGAGAGCAGTTTTGTGCTGTGTGGGCCTCATTTGGAAACTGGGTCCTTTGGGTTCAGAGCTGTAACATTCTTTATTTTCTTTGCTGTGCTCTGCCTGAATATCACCAAGTGGAGGCTTTGCCTTTGCCATGGTATCTTTTCTCAACATTCCTTTAGACCTGGCCACAGACATAGTCCCGAATATGCAGTGTTGATATTTGCAACGAGCAGCACCATTGCGTATGTTCTGCTTCATCTCCACAAAGAAGCAATGGCCTCTCAGGGCTCCAAGGATGCCAGGGGTGACAGTGCTGTACCTGCTTGTCCTGCTAAGTAGATCTGGACACAGATGTGCATTCAGCAAGATTTTTCTCTAATCGTTTTTTCATCCAAGGACCCCTGAGTGATTCAAACACCTGAAGACTAAATCTTGCCCCTTTTTTTGTAAACTAATAGTTAATGTATGGTGCTTTCAGGCTTGGGGTCATTCATTATAATATCTTTGTATTTTCCGTATGATTCAGGTAGTTTTCTGTAAGAATTAAGAGTAGGTAGTGGTGGCTTCTGTGGCATGGAGAAGCCCTTATAAAAGGCTGTATAAATCCTTCTAAGAAAGGAAGGAGTAAAAAAGCTTCTCCAAGTCGCTCTTCTTTACTTTCACTCTGCCCTGCCTAATAATACAGCAAGAGAGTGTGTTGCTCTTTTTGTTCTTTTAATCTTGTTTGTGACAAACACGCTTCACTTCCTCCCAAGCAACAACAGCCCATTCTGCCTAGACAGGGGGTCACTCTGTATATATGGGGGGAAAAAAAAGGCATCTGGTGTCTTGGTGTGGTGCCAGTGTTCATACTGGCTTTCCAGAGATTCCATCTTTGTCTTCATTCCAAGAAGATGTAACCTTAAAATAGAGAGTACAAAGGACTCTGAGCCATCCAGCGCTTACTGATGCTGCTGGAAAAAGCCTTCATGCATATAGTAGTTAAACTTTGCTTACCGTGTTGGTACCTCTTAATATGTTTTAAATTTGATCTGATTTGGAAGATGAATAATGGAAGACAGTCTTGAACACCTTATCAGCAAAAAGCTTATAAGCTTAACATATTCTCTTTCAGTGTTGAACAAGGGGATCCAAACCTACATTTAATATACACCCAGGATGACTAATCAGTGTGTTCATATGTTGTTTATGATGGTGCTGTTTATATATAGCAGTGCTCTGGTACAGAGATACCACTTGGTGCTTGAAGACTGGTGACTTGCACTGTTTCTTGGTGGATCAGACAGAAAGTGTTTATTTTCTCTCCACAGGTTTGGTAATTGCTGTCAACTTTCTGATGTGTGTCAAAACCAGACTGATCTTAAAACATTATTTAGTTTTATTTTTCCACTTCATCCAATCTCTTGATGCCTTGGCTAAGTAGGCTGTAGATTTTTAGGCAGAGTAGCACAATATACCTTATGGCTGTGTACTTAACATGGAGGCTTAGCTACTGTGACTGGAAATCACATTTTGCAGTAGTTATTTCCTGGCCTGTACCAGATGTGAAGAGTGGTTTAACTGCACTGTAAAACCACAGGTGACTAGAAAAAGAACCTACAGGAAATGACTTGCAGGCTGAATTCTGTGTGATGGTAAATGCCTCCTCTTAGCTGAGAGTGGCTTAACTTCTACCATTTATTTTGTTCCATCTGGATCACACTTATATTTAGGGATGAGGGGATGATTTGTTCTTAATGAGATCCCACACTCCTGCCCACGCTTCCTGGGGAGAGTAATGTTCAAGCCATCTTCCAGCGGTGTAGTTTTAAGGCTGGGTATTAAAAATACACTTGATATTTCTCCTTCTCCAGGAGCCGTCTGCTGGTGGTTCTCTCTCGTGCGTTCTTGGGCTCTGTCCCCGCCCTCTGTTCTTCACCAGGACTGTGGGGCTGTCGCTGCAGGTCCAACACTGCCATGAGGTTCCCCAGTGCTGGGGTTTTGTTTTGGTGAATGCAGTTTAGGAGAGTTTGAGTGTGTTGTCACAAAATCTGTGTGTCTGACGGTCTCACTTTCTTCTGCTTTAGCTGATTCTGCATTACTGGACCTCACAGCTTCATTGTCAGTAGGCAAAACCAGAATCTGCTGGGGAGCCTGAGTGCCTTCCTCATGAACATGTCATTAGGAGGGAAGGTGCTCAGGAATTAATGAAGCGCCACATTTGGTGAACATCTTGTCAGGAAGAGTCAGACTAATACACAAAATATGGCTAAGGGGAAACATATTTACACATCGCAGACTGGTAGATATGGTTAATGATTGAAGTGTATTTGGAGCCTCATATCTGAAAAAAACCAACAAACCCAAACCCGCAACAGCAAAACAGTAACAAGACAAGAAATCATACTGACAGGCTACTGTAGTAGTAAATGTACTCCTTGGGGATGTTTTCCCAGCCTAAAATACCAGTGCCATTAGCACAAGAGGGAAAACCAGTATGCCTGTCCCTTTAAACAGACTTTCAAGATATGTGAAAGCATGATTGTGAAAGAATAAATTTGAAATCACACCCTATAAACTACTGCCTTTAGGCTGTAGTATTTTTTGCAAACTTATGGAAGGCTAGAGGGGAATTTTCTGATTTTCACACTAAGATACATTTTTAAAAATAGCCTTTGCTTCAGAGAGGGAAATACCTTTTGGGGGCTGCAGGAGGACAGCTTTCCAGTACACACCAACACAGGGCTGCAGCACTGACTCTTCATTTTCTCTGGTGCCATTTCTGAGGCTGAGCCTTTGCATGTCGTATTCTACTGTTGGCTGGGTAGGGTTGGGATCCAGGGTGCCTTGGCATAGACTGGCCAGGTGAAAATTTCTGACCCCCCTCCCAAAGCTTGTGGCTGTTCTCGGCATGGAGCACCACATGTTCCGCTTGGCTGGGGAGACCAGATTAATGGTGTGGAGCACAGGAGACAGCAGGGTGCAGGAGCAGCTTCTCAGGAAGTCCTTTGGGTGGCTGGGCAGGAGCAGCCCTTGCTCCCCAGCAGGAGGTTGAGGTACCTCCACTCCCAAACCCTGGTGGCAGGCTCCTTCAGGCCTGTGGGGTTATGAGCAGCTCAGTTCCGGACACTTTCTCCTCTTTGTTTTCCTATAGATACAATTTTCCTTACTGTTTCTGCCTAATTTCTATAAATGCGGCTGTGAATGGGAATTACATGTGAGTTCCATTTCACATAAAATGAATGGTAATAGGCTTGTAGGAGGAGGAGGTGTCATTAATACATTGCTTTGCACCGAGGATTCTTTTTGTTTTCACTCTAAAGTGCGACTTGAGTTCCTGCATAGTTTTTGAAGAAACAAGTGTTTTTCACCTTTTCATTTCAGCAGTTGTGTTTGTGTACATGTTTTGCACATTTTAGTGTTATTCTGTCAGGGCTACCTTCAAATGTTTGGCAAATGAAATGTTCTATTTATGTCTTCTGGAATTGTTTTAGAGAAGAGTGAAGCATGCTGACATGACTGACAGATCTTTGAAAATCTCTGCTTGGACTGTGCAATTGATTCCACTTGGGAGATCTTAAGGGTTTATACAGAGAAGTATATTTTACTTGAAAATGACAGTTATTTCATTGTGTTTCAGGGTGAAGGCTGTCGTACTGTCCCGCTTTCTGGACATGTAGGATTTGATAGTTTGCCTGACCAGCTGGTTAATAAGTCAGTTAATCATGGGTTTTGTTTCAACATCCTGTGTGTGGGTGAGTATTTCCATTCTGGGAAGTTCTCTTGCTGAAAAGTTTTCTGCAGCTGGATGTAGCTTGTAGCTTACAGCACTAACAAGGTAGCTTTGATTTGAATTTCCCCAACTGTTCTATTTTCAGTAACAAGATTTACTGGTGCTCTGAGAAATCCCCACTGGGGTTTTGCAGTATGGCTTTTTACCAAGCAGTGAAATAAAATGCCTAAAATCACAGGCTGTTATTATGATCCTTCTTTCCCTCATATGTTTGAATTCCACATTTTTAAAAGAAAATAGGTCAGAGTACTTTGTTATGAGGTCTTGTTTGGTTATGTGTTGCATTATTATTATTAATAATAATTATTATTATTATGTTAACAAAATACTAGTCATGCTCCTCTTAAATCACTAAAAGACATTTTTTTCTCCTCCCTTCTGTGCATACTTGAATTTAGATAGTGTCTGGCCAAGCCTTAACTCTTCTGACAATTATCCAAGGTGCCATGTGGTGTGGATCACAGCTGGGGCCTGGCGTTGTAGCAGGACTTGAAGTCTGTCCCTGCAGCCCATCTCACAGGTCTTCCCCAGGGTTAGGATCCCAAATAATCCCTTCTCTTAGGTAACAGAAGTAAAACTCTGTAGGGCTTTGCTACCATAGTTTGGGCAGGTGAATTCAGAAATCAAAAATAGAGAATTAATAATTGTCTGATGGGTTTGCTGCTGCTGGTGCCCTGCCTCTGGGAGTAGGAGGTCATTGTGTGGCATGGCTGCTCGGAGTAAGCTCTGTCTGCAGATGATGCCAACAGTGCCTGGTGTGGCAGGAGGAGAGCAGCAGCTGTGAATACCTCCTGGGAACTCAGCTAGTGGTCAGCTTGTCTCCTCCCATGAGAGATACAGCTTGTGGTATGGAGCTGGTATTTGCCCAGAACACGTTAAGTCTGAAACGAGAGTAGTAGAGCAAGGAGAGGAGAGCTGAACCCTGTTAAATGGATCTGAGAAGACAATTTTCCTTACAGCCGCATTCCTGTGAGATGATAAACTTTGCTGACAAGTGGAGGTCACTGTCAGGTTGAGTCTCTAGGTGATTTCCACAGTACATGAATATGATATGACCTAAGGAAACTCCTGTCCCCATGACTGAAGTTTAAAAGTGTTTCCTTTTCCACTTACTGGGCTGCAGTGGCTTTTTTTTACAAGTTCTAGGTGTAGCAGTGGATGCCTTTTGTAGTTATATCTTCACTGTGATGTGTGGAGAGGAGCTGAATGTCGGTGCTTTCCTCTTTGCAGGGCAGAAATTGAATGCATGTATCACTTGTTGAGGTGAATAACAAGGACTCACCAAGATGAATATACATTATTACTAATGTCAGTTTTTTATGAATGGTAATAACACAATCTTGAAATAAAGACACTTTATAGAAAAATATAATAAACCCCATTAGAAAAAGATTTGCAGATCTTTGCCCCCACACTTAAACATCCTGGAGAAAGAAAACAAAAATTCCCAGTGTTCATGTGTCATTTATTTGGTTGAATTTCACTTGTACAGCAGAGTTTGGGATGAAAAATTGGAAGAACAAAGAAGCAGATGAAGATTGGATGAGGATCCCATAGACAGTCCACTAAGCATGACAGAAAGGCGCTACATTGCCCCCCGTTTTTCAGCGCTGTGTGGCATCTGTTGGAGGAAAAATCCAGTGATATTTCTACTCTGTGTCATACTGGATCTGAGCCAGTGATTCCTCCAGCTCTTGCTGGAGAAGCCAAGGAAAGCTTCAGAAATGACTCTCAGCAGCATGTCCAGAGTAGAGCAGTTTTTAGCTCTTCTCATGCTGAAAGCTGTCTCCCACATGAGACTAGAGCCAAAGCTAGAATAAATGAGAAAACCTCTCATTAGATGTTAGGGGTTGCAGATGGTTTCTCTGATCTTTTATTTCTCAGCACAACCATTTTCCTCCTAAACCTTACATGATAAATTTTCAGTTGCTTCTTAGTTCATTGGAAAAGCTGGAGAAGTGTTTAATGGCTGAGACTTTCTGTGCTGGCTGTATTTCTCAGTGAGACAGGGGAGAAAGTGGATGAACAGGCTGCTGGTTTTTGATGTAAACTTCTTAGATTTTGCCAAGATAGATTGCAGTTGCATTAAACTAGTACCCCAATTTAAACTAGTTTCCAGTTTAAGCAGTATTTTGCCCCTTCTGCTCTCCCGGGATTTGCAGGGAATTTGTTCTAATTGGCCTATTCAGTGCAAAGAGAAAGGCTGTTTTGTGGCAGAAATACCTCCCTTTCCCCCAGGACTGTTTGAGGTCTCTCACTCCAAAGGAGTGAGCCTGTGATGTGCAGGAGGTCTCACCTTGGGGGAGGGAGGGATGTGCACAGGATTCCTGGTGCTCTCCAACAGGCAGCTTTCTGGGGTGATGAGCTTACAGCCTGGAAGTTGCCCAGTTTCTGTGGTCACTGTTGCAACCAGCTGAGGAGAAATTCTCTGAGTTTCTCTAATCAAAAAGCCATCTGTCCCCTTAGCCTTCTCCTGCCCTGCTGGTATCCTAGGGTAGATTCTGGGAGTTGGGTGCTCCTCTGAGTTAGTGTTTCAGTGTATTTTGTGAGCCCTTGTTGCCCTTCTTTTCCCTGCAGCTCAGCCTTTGCCTGTCTGTGGGGTATTGTGTGGTATCTCTGCATGCCTGTCAGAAGAAACAAACTATTTTTCTCTTTCTCCTTGAGAGATGGCCTTATCAGTCTGAGTTGCCTCAGGGCTTGTCTCAGCAAACCTGCTACATTGGATTAGCTCCCATTTCTGCACATGAAAAGGCTGTGCATGCATATACATTTTTCTTTAAAATTGAATTATTTGGTATCTGGAGCCACAGTTGTTAATCTTGTGAAGGACAGGTGCTGCTCTCTCATGAAAGGAACCTCTTGTGAAAGCTGCTCCCTGCCTTTGAACAGGGAAATACTCCAAGGACTCCTCTGTCCTCCTGCAGAGTCAATTGATGATGATATGATTGGGGCCTCTTAAATCCTGAGTGTTGTGGGAAAGGGGGGCAGTGAGCAGTTGCTTGTTTCACTTAGCACATGCTTGGAAAAAGCAAATTAAATTTCCAGGCACAAAAAGAGGAGGTACAGCTTTTGTGGTGTATAATTCAGCTCACTGCTGCAGGTGCTTAGGGTGCTAAAAGTGAAAAGAAGGCATGAAAGCTCATTCAGCACAAAAATGTCTGTCTCTGTTTGGGAAGTTAGGAGCTTGTCCCAGCTGTAGTTTTGCAAGAGGTGCCGCCACAGTTCCATCAGTGCACGATTTGATGAAGTGCTTCCATAGAGCAGTGAAGATACCATGTGCATGTGAAGTTGGGGCAGGGAACATGTCTCAGGAGAGCAAGATGATGTGTGGGGAGCCCAGCACAACTGGGCTGTGGGGCTTTAAGAGTGGATGGTGCTTTCTGAGCACTGGTGTAGGGCTGCATGTCCAGAACCTTTGGCCTTTTTTTTTTTAATGTCCTTGAAAATTGTCAGACTTAAGAGCAAAACTTCATCCCATGATGAAAGGCACAACACTCAAGCTTTTCCATTGCTGTCACATCTTCTTGGTGCAGAACTCTACCAGTAAAGGTCACTCTCTCTGCCCTGTCCTCCTCACAGAGCTTTGTCAGCCCTGTTTTGGGACACCAGACCACTGTCAAGTTGCATAATCCTTAAGTACAGTTTTGGAGATCAGATCACATGTGTCCATAAGCCTGGCATCGGGAAATAATCTCCCTGCCAGGGATGCCTCTCACTCGGCTTGTGTACTGTGCTGCTTTTTTCAAAGTAATTCTGCCTCTTCTAATCCCTGTTCATCATTTCTATGTTGTGAGGAAGATTCCAGTGCCATCGGCTGGAACAAGCACAGACCACTTGTCCTTCTTATCAGACCTCTTTATCTGGACTCCTATCCTTGCAAGAAGCAGTTGGCACCATTCACATCTTCTAGCCAGCAAAAAGTTTGCTCTGTGTGAGGCAGAAACTCCCAGAAGATTCAGAAATTTTTCTTTCTGTCATTTTGGCCTTCAAAATAGCACTGCTCCCTATCTCTGCTCATAATTAACACAGCAGAACACTATTAGTATTTTTAGTCTTTTACCATTTCATGTCATGCTGTCAGTGTTAACATTCTTTCAGCTGAGACAGTCTTTACTCTCTTCTTCCTCTTCCCTGGCAGGCTTTAATTCTGTGTCAAGTGAGTGGGGTTACACAGTGCAGGGACAGGGGTATCTGCTGGCTTGATGTAAATTTGGGAGTGCAGACTTCATAAGAGATGTCATGTTAGTGCCTGGGTATTTTAATCACAAAGATGTTTGGATGGGCAGCTCCCACCTGCGGAAAAATGCCACAGTTCTGATCTTCCCCTTCCAAAAGGAAAAACTTAGTGTTTGAGTTCAAAGTTTCCTTTGCTGGCCCTGTGTAGCTGCATGAGGTGGAGTGTAAAAGCATGTTCTGCATCTCTTAAACACTTTTCCTAACCCCTCTGAGACTTAAAGTCACTCTTGCTGGAAAAAAAAAACTTGAGATGGGTTTAAGGTAGGCAATGATTAACAGGTTCAGGATGTGCTTAAACAAGAGTCTTGGCTTCATATGAACCTAATTCAGCCAAAAGAAGGAGGGAGGCAGAAACGAGAGGTGACTTACAGGGTGCTGTCTGCCCAGAAGCCAGTGTGGTTTACTGATAACCTTGTGTATCCACTGCAGAGAGCAGCTCCCTGCCCTGGGCACCACTGCTGCTCCCTGTCACCCTGTCCTGTAGCCTTGGAGCTGCTCCGGGGCCTGCCAGGCTGTGGGGCAGTGGCACAGGAGGAGGCTTTGCCAGGATTGTGTGTGTGGGTGATGCTCCTGCGCTGCAGGGCTGAGGGACTCTCCTATCCTGAGATGTCCCATCAGGGCTCCTGGCATTCACAGGCAAGCAGACAGCTCACTGCTCTGTCCCACCCATCCTTTGGCAGGGGCTTTGGAAATGCTGCAGCCTTCTCATACTGTTTAGATTTTTGTCTTTTTTTACACTGCTCTTTCCTGGAATCCCTGAGAACAGCCTGGGAGGTCATACAGGCTGTTGGCTGTTAACTCTTAAAATCCCTGTCCAAACCATGGAAATGCTCTGGTCTGATTTGTGCACCTGCTCATTTTTGGGGGCAAGTGGTCCCTGACAAGTCCAGACAATGAGATTCCAAGTCAATGAAGGGCTTGTTGGACCAGCTTATTCTTCCAATGACAGAGGTAACCTTGTGCTTTGCTAGGTCCCCCTCGTTTGCTCTGGCCAGTGCTGCTGTAGGTACAGCTGATGCACTGAGGTAGCACAAGGGACTGCAGCCATGCCAGCTCCTTCTTCTTCCCTTGGGATTGAAAACCAGATTGATGCAAAGAGCAACTGCACTGGTGGCTGTTCTGGCTGTAGTTGGTGTTGGTGATGGAGCACTGCTGGCTCCCAGGCAGCTCTGCAGCTTAAGCTGTATCTTGATTTTGAAATGTTAATGGATCTTGCTGCCTCTGGAAAGATACTGGATATGTCATCCTGGCAATCAGGGGCTGCTTAGTTCTCAGAGCAGGGGATTTGGGGCTTGGAACGAGACAATATTCCTTCCAACCCAAACCATGCCATGATTTTATGATTCTGTGTTTGCCTTGCTCTGCCATGTACTTCAGCCCCAAGTGAGGAAAATCCCTTCTGAGGCCAGAAGAGGAATTTGCCTGCTTGCAGGGGTGAGGCTTGGAGACTTGGACATGTGGACAGGGGAGGATGGGGAGGAGTTTCCCTTCTTGAATTGGTCATTTCATGCAAGTTTGGATCTGCTACAGAGCTCTAAACCTACAAAAATAAGAAGCTCTTTTATTCTGAGCAAAGTGGGAAAATGGTGAAGTTGTTTTGGTTGGGAGCTGAGGGCTGGGGGAATGAGGGGAATGCTCATGCAGCCAGACACACTGGTCTCCCTGTGGTCCCACAGCAGGCTGGAGGAGCAGTGTTCACAGAGGGTGGGGTTCAGCTGCTCCTGAAGTTTCTCCAAAGCTGTCTGGGCTGCTCAGAAATTGCTGTTTCCCCAAAACACAGCAGCCCTCACAAGGCAACAGACCAGACTGCGTAGGAAGTCAGATCCTGTGAGCTCGGAGAGCTGGCTCTGTTGTCAGAGCCTGGTAAGGGAGGCTGCCCTGTGGAATGTGTGCACAGAGGGGTTTGTTTTATTCTTCCTGGGATGTATCTAAAACAAATTCAAGACTGCTCTCTGGGATTTGTCTCTTCCTTCAGACAAGGAAATAGTTGCCTGTTGATAAATGAAATCCAAATTGCAGTTCAGTACTGATAGAATACTGGCAGAATACTGACAATACTAGCAGAACTTATGGAAGCAGATTTTGCGATATTGTACAGCTTGTGTAGCCCCGAAGGTACAAAACCAGGTATTACAGAAAATGCCCCCTTCCAGTGTAGAAGGCTGATTCTCCAATCTGTTATGAGAAACCAACTGCACAGCTTGCTGTGGGACTCGAATCAGCTCTCAGGGTTCTGCACGGAAGGAAGCTATTTCTGTGGCTGCTTATTACAGACATTGATCCTGGAGCAGCTTTTTTTGGAAATGGCAGTGAGCCCCATTTCCTCTCCCACTTTTTAATGAAAACAGCATCTTCTGTAGTGTAGTTGTGGGTTTAAGCAGGATCTGAACGATGCTTTCCCCTTTGCTTTTTTACCTCTTTCCTTTCATCTCTATTTTGTAATGACATTAATGGCCATTAGACTGTGAAATGTAATTTTCCCAGAATACAGACCTCCCATTGTTCATGGCTTTCTGTTTACCAGACGCTCCCTTGGGAGCATGAGATCTGCTTTCATCTGCTACAATTTCACCCCTGTTAATGTTTGGAAGCTGAAAGGCCAACACATATTAATATTCAACAGAACATTTCAACTCTCTTTTTCTCCAATAGGGGAAACTGGCCTTGGTAAGTCCACCCTCATGGACACCCTTTTCAACACCAAGTTTGAAGGTGATGCAGCATCTCACTCACAGCCTGGAGTCCAGCTGAAATCCAGCACTTATGACCTGCAGGAGAGCAATGTCAACCTCAAGCTGACAATTGTGAGCACAGTGGGCTTTGGGGATCAGATCAACAAAGAAGACAGGTGAGTGTGAGGGAGAGAGGCTATATTGTGACCTGGCTTTTTGTTCTCCCTGTGCCCTAGCTGGGCCTGACTGCACTGCAGTTTTCCTGCTTGCTTCTTAGGAGCTGTCCTTGTCACCTCTTTCGGGATGGGACAGGTAGGAGAGAGGACAGAGGCTCTGGAAGGTCAGCACTGCTTCAGCTATAAAGCAGCTTTTCTCATGCTGTCAGAGCAATTTCTGCCCTGCTGACAACCTTCTGCCCAAATTCATCTGGTGGGGAGACTGAAATGCTTCAGGGCATCTGGGCTTGTTTTGGTTTGTGCTTCCCTCAAGCTGCTGACCAAACCCCTAATGTGGCTTAGTATCTTCTTGGCTTATTATCCTCTTTTGGCTGGGCTTTTCCATGGGGAGAGCCAAAGGAAGAAAATGTGCAGTGAGATACCCTGGGGGAGTGTGTCTGGCAGCTCACATCCCAGAGTGGCTGGAGTGTGTTGGTTAAGGGATATGCAGTTACACCAGACAGTCTCCAAGGTGCATCTCTGCAGAGACATTGCTGATGGGATTTGCTTTTATGTGGATCTGTTAGATTTTTTTTTTTAAGTTTGTTTTAAATGCACTGATGTCCTTTTGAGTCTGGCAGCTCTGTATTTCAGAAGGCCTTGCAAGAGGGTTACAGGAATTTCCTGCCTCAGAGCACTGGGCACAGGTAGTACTGAATGAAGCTGTGTATTCCACCAGCAGCACTCGGGGCTGTGAGAGCAGCAAGCCGTTCACTCCCTGAGTGCAAGCAAGGGTTACACACTTCTGCAAATGAGTCTACATTAGCCTTGCTTCAGATAGTCTCTCCTCCTTGCATTTCAAAATATGAGAGTCTGCTTTCCCTGGAGAGGATGTGTATCTGCTATCCTCTGCTGAATCCTAGTACTGTGTTTTGACAAATAGGCTGCTAGAGTCTGATGTAGGACCATGTCTCCTTGTCAGCAGTGTAACTTTAAAATTTCTTACAGGTGGAGAGCAAGGGAGGGAGAGAGAGTTGGTCTCAGTAAGTGAAAATTGGAAAGTGAAATCTATCAACGTCTTTTTTCTTAAAAGCAAGCCAAGGGGCATTGTCCTATTTGTTTAACTCTCTGACTGTGAGATATATAGCTTTTTTTTTTCCTTTCACCAAAGCTATAAACCCATCGTTGAGTTCATTGATGCTCAGTTTGAAGCCTACTTGCAAGAAGAACTGAAGATAAAAAGGGTCTTGCACAACTACCATGACACCCGAATCCACGCTTGCTTGTACTTCATTGCTCCGACAGGCCATTCCCTGAAATCCTTGGACTTGGTAACAATGAAGAAGCTCGACAGCAAGGTTGGCACAAGTAACTCTTATTGGGCAGATTTACTGTTTGCATAATGGAAAGGCTGCTGCTTTTCCAGAGGATCTCCCCACCTTGAATAGCCCTTCTGCCCTTATTACCTTCAGCCCTGAAATGATTGAATTGGCAGATAATTCTGTAGATTTATTGAGCACTTACAAGTTTTGAAGGTTGTATTGCCAACTTAGAGAAACTCCCAGGAGAAAAGTTGATTACTTGGTACCTCTGTTTTTTTCTAGGTGAACATCATTCCCATCATTGCCAAATCTGATGCCATTTCCAAGAGTGAGCTGACCAAGTTTAAGATTAAAATCACAAGTGAACTGGTCAGTAATGGGGTGCAGATCTACCAGTTCCCAACAGATGATGAATCGGTGGCGGAGATAAATGGGACAATGAATGTAAGTAACTTGGTTCTTCTTCTCTCCCAGAACAGCAGTCATTGTAGGGGTTGGTGGCCCATACTGGAATGTTTCTTAAATCTACTTTCCCTTTTATTTTGTGTCTTAAACCCAGAGAATTTCACAAGAATTTCATCCTTGTAGTGTCATCTTAGGCTAGGAGAGCTTTGTGGTAGGCTACTGCCTCTCTGGTAGGCTTTTCTAATCAGAAAACAGACTTTTAATACCCTCCCTGTCCTTGTGCTTATCTGTTGAGGGATGTGTAAGAAATCAGTGTTTAAACCCTTTTCATTATTCCTGCCCTATGCATCACCTGATGGCCTCCTGCCAGTAAACTTCCGGGATCCTGTGGCAAGGAACTACACAGCTTAACCAGCAAGGTGTGAAAAACAGTACACAACCTGGGCCAGTCATGCCTTGAGGTGCCTGCAGGTGCCCATTCTGGCTCTGGCTTTCCCAGCATCATGAGTGCCTGTCTGTGGCTCCTTGAGGATGAAGCAAGCTGTCCCTTGGTCCTTCTGGCAGCACATCCTGATCATGGTCCCATTTTCCAGAAGGCTTTTCACAGGAAATCAAGTAGGAGAAGTTGATTGCTTTGCTGCTGTAGATGCAGCAGAGGTCTAGCTGATGTGCATTTGTGCCACCTCTTGATTTTGTATTAATAGTTGTAGAGTGTTGTTGAGAGGCCTGAAAGAAACTTGAAGTTTGTCCTGACGTAGGAGCTGTCAGTGGTAGCTTCCTGGTCAGAGCATTTCAGTGTTAACCCTTCTGAGGGTGGAAGAGAACCTGTGCTTGACTTTCCTTTCAGCCATTTACTTGTCTCCTGGGAGGGAATCACTGTCTTGGGTTGCAGATGTTCTGGGTTGTGTCTGTTGCTGCACAGACAAATCAGCTCTTTAATCTTCTATTACAGTCAGAATTACCAGGCTTGTGGCGACTAAGCAGGCCAGAATTTGACCAAGGCAATTTTACAGGTCTAGAAAACTTGTATGTAAATACTGCTATTATTAGAAACATGAGACAAATATTACTCTTATTCTGTGTGTGTCCCATGTGAGAACAGGGGCCTGAGGAGTAGAGGAGGAAGAGCCCATCTCAGTGAGTGCTTGCTGGCAGTTTTGTTTTGTTTGCAGTTTGACTGTATGAGCCACACTCTGAAAGCATAAACCTCATCTCTGAAATCTTTTGCTTGTACCACCTGTCATGAACTTGTCCAAGTTTTTGGATAACCTGTGGAATTCACTGCCTGCTCTTGAGAGCAATCCAGGGTCACAGGTCTTCCTTGTAGATGGCTTCCTGAGGCCCTTTAAATTGTCCAGAATTTGGTGCACTTTAAATGCTTTGCCTTATAAATGTCACTTCACAAAACTCAGCAGAAAGGATTGGTGCAAAGAGCTGGGAACTCAAAGTGCTGAAACTTTGCACTGTATGACTTTGACTTCCTTGTGGCTTGGCAGAATGCAGTATAGTTCCCAGGAGCAAGGGAGGTGGGGAGAAATCTCGCTTACAGAAAAATGCAGAAAAGTACGATTGCAATGTCTAGGGGGTTTGCTTGGCTGCTTGAGTTTTGGAAATGAGAAGACTGTAAGGTGAGATCTTCAGAACCTAGATAGGTATTTGGGAGGGTTTCAGTTCCAAGTTTGCTGAGCTTACACTGGGCAAGTCTCTTTTTGTCTTCTGAAGAGAGATCACTAAGCAGTGACTGTTTCTGATTTCTGAGTTTCTGAAAAGCAAATCCTTCTTGTTCTTAGTCAGTCTTTGTGTAATGTGGAGTGCATATCAGCTTGAAGAGTGTGACATTGGGTCACACTGGACACAGTGGCTGGGGACATGTTCAGCCCTTCCTCACCAGGGCAGAAGCAAGCAGGGAGGACAGACCTGTTACTCTGGGGGTGGAGGATAGACTTCCATCTCATGATCTGATGGAGCAAGGTGTCTTGTGCTCCAGCATGAGCTAAATGAGTGGTGGGGGGATAAAACCAAGAAGGGTCCAAGACCTCTTACTGCTTCTGTGCTTGTGCAGATGTTCTCCTCAGGCATGGCAAACCCTGGGACAGCACCGCAGTCCGAGCCGCAGCACTCTGTTCCAGCTGTCACTCTGATGCCAGTCTTGCACTGGCTCATCTCACCTGAGACTCTGTGGCTGGGAGGATCAGCCAGGTAGAGGATATAGAGTGGTAGCACTAACAAGGTTTCCAAAAAAGGACCCACCCTGCTACCCCTTGTCTTGGACTAGTGGCCAGTGACTAGACTCCCTGAGATTAGCATGTGCATAATGACTGTCTTGCTCAGTGGCTGTGCTCATCTCTGTGTGCTGGTGGGTCAGCCAGGTCTGAGAGGGACTAACACAGATATCATTAAATGTGTTCCAGGCCCACTTGCCATTTGCAGTGATTGGGAGTACGGAGGAGCTGAAAATAGGAAACAAAATGATGAAAGCTCGTCAGTACCCTTGGGGCACAGTGCAGGGTGAGTTGAGCTCTGGGATTTTCAAGGCCTGAATGGTGACACTTGTGCAAGGAGGTAATGTGCTTTCATAAAAGGAGCTGGACTTGATTATCTATGGGGAATTATCCTTTGTTAAATCCTCGTGTCAGGCCTATAGTGCCAGTTTTCCCTGCTGTTAAACCTGTTGGAGGAGTAGACAATTGGGGAATGTGGGAAGAGATCCTAGTTTCTGTCCCCATTTTCTTCCTTACTTACTTCTTACCTTATGTCTTTTTACAGTGGAGAACGAAGCTCACTGCGACTTTGTGAAGCTGCGGGAGATGCTGATCCGCGTGAACATGGAAGACCTGCGTGAGCAGACCCACACGCGCCACTATGAGCTTTACAGGCGATGTAAACTGGAAGAGATGGGTTTCAAGGACACTGATCCAGACAGCAAACCCTTCAGGTGAGATCTCTGGAGGAGACAGGAGAGCTTGAGAGAAGCATTGTTGGATGTGCTGTGTGCTTATGTGTGTGTGTGTCCTTGGGAGAGCATGGAAAAAACCAATGCAGCAAGAAAAACTGCCAGCTCAGATAAATCCAGCAAAGGTCTGCCTGGGAGAAAGTGAAAATACAGGGAGGATGTGCAGGACTGACTATGAATGTGCAAGTATGGGAGTAGAAATGTCTGTGCTGAAGAGAGACAGTGATGCCTATTTTGGGCTTACTGAGAAATAGAGGCCAGACAAAGTTAAAAGGATAAAAGTGGAAAAGCCTTCAGGTACATTAAGGGCAGATGAAGCCTCTCCAGAGGGCTACACCAAAAATGGATGATGATCACAAGTTTTTCAGACAGATATAAGTTTGGTCTATTTACATATCAGGCATTAATCCTCCAGTTACAGCTTCAGGTAATGAAGTCATTGCCTGAAGTTTGCTTCTCCAGTTCACTTTTGTTTTTACTTTTTGGGGCCTGAGGATCTAGGGTGTCCTTGGATCTCAGGCCCAGAGGGATTGTTTTGTCTGACCAAAATGTGAAGACAGTTAACTAACACTTTATATGAAATTTAGAATTATGCACTAATGCAGTACAGGTTTTGAAAAACATAAAAGCTGAAATCTTAAGGCATCAACACCAATGTTTCTCTGAACTAGTGTTTGTTGTCAGCTGGTCTCTTTGAATTGCCCAACATTCAACATATAAAGAAGTGCCAAAAATCCCGGGATGAGGAAGACTTTGGGCACATGTGGGTGATTGAGTAGCAAATGTGTTGTGTGTAAAGCAATAGTCACGGTGAGGGCTTGATTTCAGAGGGTCAGGGAAAGAAGTTTGTCCTAAGTCTGGACTTTCCTTCCTTTTCAGCTTACAAGAAACTTATGAAGCCAAAAGAAATGAGTTTCTGGGAGAACTGCAGAAAAAGGAAGAGGCAATGAGACAGATGTTTGTCCAGAGGGTCAAGGAAAAAGAAGCAGAGTTGAAGGAGGCTGAAAAAGAGGTAATGACTGCAGTACTTGTGTCTTCATGGCTGTGAGTGATAGATTCACTCCCAAGTAAGTAGTTGTTGCCAAAGCACTTTCTGCAGAGTGTGGTCTAGGACTTTCTTATCAAGAAGTCTAAGGTTTAACTTGGATGGGGATGTTAAGGTGTTCAGTATGTAGGACAAAACTGAATCACGGTGCTTGTTCTGTACAAATTACTGCACCAGGAAAGGGCTGGTCTTGATTCTGATGGAGAGGTGTAGTGTGTTAAAAGTCAAGGAGAGAAGCAGCCCTTGAGATGAACTTGTTTTACAAAAAATACACCCATACAACTTCCTTGGCTTTATGAAAAATTCATTAATTTACTGACCTTTAAAGAGGAATAGGACAGAGACCCTTGTAGATGGATTAAAGGGGTTTTTTTTCCACTTATGCTCTCCCAATTCTCTGTTCTTAGTCTGCATAATGATGCATTACTAGAACACTGTAAGTTGTTGTGGAAGGAGGCTGTTCCCTGCCCTATGTCTGGTTTCTGGCAGTTTAGGAACTAGAAATGCTGTGGAGAGCAGTGGAGACTCACAGGTTCAGATCTCAAGGGACCGTTCCATCCTCCTCTTTCCCTGTGAACAGAATATCTGGTAGTGCCGCATCCTGCTCACCTCTCTCCTTTCCCTTCAGCTGCATGAGAAGTTTGATCGCCTGAAGAAATTGCATCAGGATGAAAAGAAGAAGCTAGAGGATAAGAAGAAGTCTCTGGATGATGAAGTAAATGCATTTAAACAAAGGAAGACAGCAGCTGAATTGCTTCAGTCACAGGCTCAGCAGGCTGGAGGATCGCAAACTCTTAAAAGGGATAAGGAAAGGAAAAAGTAAGTTGCTAACCCAGAGGTATTTGCTTTTTGGTAATGGTTCGCCTTTACTATTTTTCTGGGTGTTCATATCTCCCTCCAACATAGCCAGTCCTTATCAGGGGCAGGTTTACAGCCAGATTTAATCCCTAGTAAGGCTGAGCAGTATCTGGAAGCATGTAACATTTGCTGTCATCCTGAAGAGCAGGGAGCAGTACTAACCTCCCGCTTTGCCTTCTGACAGCATGGGAGAGGATGAACTTGTTTTTATCGTGGAAATTATTCAGGGAAACTAACAGTCTTGAATTCCAGAATCTGCAGAATGTAAGACTGCAAAATGAGGGGACAGGTCATAGCACCTTGTTAGCACTAGTACTCTTCTCCTGTCTTAAATCAGCCTTTTGCCCTCCACAGAAACAGTGGGTGATACTGCATGGCTGTAGCAGGGGTTTCTCATGCCAGGGACAGGTGTGACAGGATCCAGCCCTTCATCAGGGTCTGGGGTCTGGGCTGTCTGCAGTGCCTGTGCCAGGCTCCTAGAGCTCTGCAGTTGCTTGAGTAACCAGCTACACAGGAAACAGATCTCCCAGTTCTCCCAGCACTGAGCAGTTCCCTTCCTTCTCACTGTGGTACAGTTCCCAAAAGGAGTGCAGTGCCACCTGTGCAGGTGTGCAGAGAGTGGTATGCAGCCAAGTGGGTCTGGTTTTGTGTCACTGCCATGATCTCTGCACAGCCCTGGGGCAAGCCTTGCCTGCACTATGCAGTCTTAAGTACAAGAAGAAGTGCTATTAAATTGGACAGTATAAGGCATGCCCAAAGTACTGACAGCACTGTTTGTCGGGGAAAAGCCTGTGACTGTAAAACTTGGGATCAAATGAGACAGAGGAGGAAAGACCCAATTACAAGAATTAGATCCTGGTTTAGCCTTTTAGTTTAGAGCTGAAGTTGCTTCAACATGAACATTCTTTTTCAACGAGCAGTTTGTGCTGCCCTTTTCTCACTTGCCTATTCCTTCTTCCACCGCCTATTTTGATTTGTTCATTTGAATCACCTTCAGGGGGTTTTTAATATCTTTTCATACTGAGAAGTCTGAGACTGACTGGGGACAGACTTCTCTCTTCAGCTTGGGCTGTGTGAGGATTACCCAGCTGAGTTCTTTCATGCTTAGAGCCCTTAGACATCTGCTCACTCAGGACTGCAGACTTCAGCCTTGAAATCAGTCAGTGTCAGGAATGCAGAAAAGGGAGGCAACAGCTCTACAGTATCAGCAATTAGTTTCTGTGGCCTAAGTCAAACTCTTGGTCCTTGAGGTGGTTCTCATCTCAGAACATCTCCTTGACACCAAGCATGTTGATATGAAAAATCTTTGGTACTGTTCTTGTCAGTTAGGAGCAGAGAAAACTTCATGACAGAGATAGGTCATTGCTTCAGTAAGGCTTGGGAAGATAATAGGAAGCCTCTTTCACCTCTGGGAAAATTGCTGTGCTAGAAATGGTGCAGCTTTCTTTGCTCTGTAACTTCTTCAGTTGTCCTTAGTAATAGATTTCATTGATTTTTTTAGATCATAATTTTTCTTAAGAGTGAAAAATTAATCTTGCAAACTGGAGCTTAATTGTAGCTTGTTTACTACTGGTTGGGAGTACAATAGCCTTTTTCTTTTACAGGTGACTTGTTTAAACCCAAGCTCTGTAATTTGCACTAATCATGACTCAGTTGATTTTTTTGTTGTTGTTACATCATTACCATCATTATTAGGTCTTACATGTCTGCTGTTTTACAGTTAGCTGCTGTTTGGCTGCATGGTGCATGAGGCACATTGTCCTGGTAAGCGTCATTAACTAATAGAGCCTCACAGTGGGATCAGTTACCTTTCCTAAAAAAGCAGACCGTGTGCAGGTCCTGAAGCTTCTAAGTATTATCTCTGTCTTACTCTGCTTTCACCCCCACTATATGTGCTCTACCACTCACTCTACATATGCAGTTGTAGAAAAAGTATGTAATTATCTTTAAAGATTTGGCAAAGTTAGATTCAGAGACTCAGGATATGGAACATAGAAAAATAAGGATTACGGTCTCTTCCTTTTAAATCTTTCTTGCACTTCATTGGCTCTGTTCTCTTTATTCCATCTCTCTGAAAAATAAATTATATTCTTTAATCACACAGACCACATTGATACTATGGCAACAATTGCTATGGAGAGGTGGTGCTGATGATACAGCCCAGCTAGCCATGAAAATGTCTCTCTCTTTCCTTTCTCCTCCTTCCCTCCCACTCCTCCAAGCTGTAATGTTAATTTGTGGTTACAGTGAAGGTAGATGCAGGACTAGTTTCTATCATTAGGGTTATCAGTTAAAGTGCTAATGACAATGGTCTACTTACAGCTAGGTTGAGTGAGTTTAACTGAGCGTTTTTAATTTGCTGATGATTCTCTGGTGAGAGGAAGAGGAAACCTCCCACAGAAATGTCTTGCTTCTTGACAGAGCAGCAATACTCATTATCCAAGGCAAGCGTGACAGTGCCCCAGGCTGAGGTGCTCAGGCCTCTCAGAGAAGGGACCCTGTTGGAAATAAACTATAAAAACCTAAAATAACTAAAAACTATAAATCCTGAAACTTTATAACTAGAAACCCTAAAAACTCATCTTTGAGTCCATTCTTCCCTGCAGACAAAGCTAATCTTACATTCTCTCCTGGATAGTCCAAACTAAATTATGGTCCACCCCTTAGACTGGTAGAAGCTGATTCCAGGATTCCTTCCCTCTTAACACCAAGGGAAATGGAAAAGCAAGTAAACATTATGCTGTCAGTGAGAGGCATTTCAGTGTAATTTAAATGGGACCTTCCACTTTACAGAAGAGCTTCAGAAAGGTCTTGTACTGACTTGAGCTGGCACTTGCAGTTGTCTTGAGCTATCCAGTTGAATGAATATCTCTGCTGTAGAACAATGAAAAGAACAATTCTCTGCTTATCAGGCTCTGAATGTGGAAAAATAAGCTCAAAGAATAACAGTGTTCATTCTGGTGCTGAGTACGAAGGCACAGCTAAAGTGCAGTTAGAGTGAACATTACTGATTTTTGTTGGTTTTGGATTGCTTCTGGCAGTCCTCATAACTGTACACTGTTGTGTGCTGGGCTTTGAATCAAATGAAGTTCTTTGTTCCTGCTACACAAATGCAGACAGTGCCTCTTTCAATGGGCATTTGTCATTGCTAAATTAAATATGTATATGTGGTACTTTCCAGGATTTAGAAAAACACTCTCCATATTGATCCATAAAGTGTTGCAGGGCTTCACTGTTTTGCAAGGATACAAACAAGTCACAGTCGATGAGTCCTGTAGCTTGCAAAACTGTGAAAGGATTATTTTATAAAATAAATTTAGTTCATCCCACTGCTGAGTGTGTGTGTGTGTCTGCATAAAGCATGTTTTGTAGTCAGATTAAACCTTATTAACGCTTAGCAACACTTTATTTTTTATGTGTGCGTGCACATTAGAAAAATTTGTATTTTTATTTTGTTATTTGTCATTAATCCATAAAACCATTAACCTGCCTTTTTCTTTCATTTTCAGTTCGGGTTTCCTGTAGAACCTTTCCCCTGGCCCCAGAGGCGAATGCCCCACCCTCGGCTGTGCCATTGTGCCTGTTTGCTCACCTTTCCCATTGCTCCCACCCGCGCTCACCACTCGAGCTCTTGGCTGTTGGGGTTGTTCTTGTGAGGGACCCTGCTGGCCAGAGAGGCTGTGCCAGGTTCCTCCTGCCCCTTGGGCAGCAGCAGGATGCCCACTGCTCCTGGGCGAGTGTCCCCTCTCCCATTGCTGAGCTTTTCTCCCGCTCTATGCTGTCAGAGCTGCTTGGGGGGTGCATTTAGCTCCTGCTGTGGGTGCAGCCCAGTGGGGAGGGTTGTGCTGTCTCCAGAGACTGGCTGCCCTCTCCTCATATTAATTTGCTGTTCCTAAGCCCTCATTACCCCCTGTGCCGCCATGTGTGACTCAACTTTCAAGGACTTTTTGCAAAACTTGACATCCTCACAGGCATGGGCCTGAGTCCAAACCTCTAGTTTCCAGGCTTGATGAAACCTCAAATTTGGATCCATGGTTTGCAACTAAGTGTTCTCTGAATGCTGCAGGGGTCATGAAGGATCTCTTGCCTGGTCTACCTCTCAGTGTGCTGACCTGGATGCACATCCTGGATCCAATCTCAGGGAAAGCTGGTCACCTTGCTGTACATATCAGTGTTTCTGAAGAAAGACGATGCTGTTTCATTGACTTTCTTCTCAGTGATTCCAACAATTTCTGGTTTTAATGCAAAAAAATACTACTTTTTTTTTTTTTAATCTGACATCTCTTTAGAACTGTACATCTGGTTGACAGGTTTCTTCTCATATTTTCTATTCAGCAAAAGCCTTGTTTTTACTGCAAAATTTGCACTAAAAAGGAGGGTGTTTTGCTCACTGGGCTAGGAGTTCACTCTGGCCAAGTGCAGTTGTGGTTTGCCTACAAGTGTCTTCTCTGTGTATTTCTGGCTGAGTTTTGTTTTTAAATAAAGAGTTCATCGGACAGTGAATTCTGGTTAACATTTACTTCTTTTGTTTTTTTTGTTTTCTTTGCCCTTCTTTTACAGTAACCCATGGCTCTGTACTGAGTAATTACCCCTGAATACAATGGCCTGGAATGGACCTTCATTTACTTGTTAAATCGGAGGGTCTAATAAAACATGACAGCATTTCAGCTGTGACCTTTCCAGGGTATTCTCCTATGTCCTCGTTGTGATTCTGTCTTTACTATGTAATAGTGGTCATTGCTTTTATTAAACAATGTAAGATTAGTCATAACAAGATTCTGGATGCTACAACTTTAAATTCTGCAATATTTTTTTTCCTCTACAATTAATGGATTCCCCTTTTTCCTGGCCTTGTTCCACCCAGTTGAATAAGGGATATGGAAATAAGTTCTGTGAGTTATTTTTGCTGGCAAAATAACAATGCAGTTTAAATATATTTATTGGTGACATTAAAATGACAGCATCAGTTTAATTATCACGTAGTTCAGAGATAAAACACTTTTTACTCATTATATTTGGTGTCATTTTCATGACATCATCTGTCTTTTTTCATTTGCTTTTATTTTTTCTTTTGCTAATCCATGCTATCTGAAGACTGGCATGTAAATCCTCGTTTCCATTTCAAACTTGCTTGTTATGAGCCCGATCCTTCAGTCGCACTGTGGGCGGGCTCAGTGCTCTGTGTGTGGTGAATCCACACGTCCTGCCCCTGCTGAAAGATCAGACACGTGCTGCCTCCACAAAGCCCCTCCAGATGCTGGGGTTTTAGAAGCTAAGCACATGTCAGGCCTAGCCCTGATAGGTGATGCTGTTTAGTGCTGAGGTTTTACCTGAGCAGGGCTCTGAGTGATGCCACAGGCTCAGGAGCAGTTTCAGCACAGGCTCAGCCTGGCTCCTGCTCACAGCAGCAGCCCCAGGTCATGGCCTCTGTTCCCAGCAGTGAGGGCAGTCCAAGCTCTGGATTGCAATGTATTTTCTCAGGTATTCTCTTTCACCGTAAATACAATTTAATTTCCCATAGAGCTCTTTAATTGCTTTGTGGTTTATTTGGGATTTTTTTTGGAAGTTAAAATAATTTGAATATTTTCTTCTTCCTCTACTGTTGAATATTGCCCTGCTCCCAAAACCAGCCAGCATCAATCTGTCAATGACTTCTAGATTATCTGCTAAAAGGACAATTGAATGTGAGTTTTTTGTCATACTGCAGGTTACTGTCTGTTCTTCCTGACCATTTGCCTTATTAGGATGTTATTTAAAGTTACATGAAACTCTTTAAAGAAAAAAAAAAAAGGTTTTTACTTGTGTGATTTCCCTGAAGTACTTGAGGTAACACAAGGAGGTTCCATCTCTCCTCTGTCAGCTCTTTCCATGTTGCATCTCTTTTTCTTGCTTTTTGAATGTCTTTCTCTTTTTTGCTAATCTTCTGTTTTTTCTCTTTTTTCCCCTTTTCTCTCTCTGTAGCTTTTTTTAATCTGTCTTCGCCAGCTGCACTGTGTCTGAGGGAGAAGACTGCCACTTCTAGAAGAGTTTAAGGGTCTTCTGTCTGGGGAGGGGGGAACAAATCTTCAGTGTTAGTGTCTTGGAAAGAAGCTCTTTTACTGACTTGCATGATACTTAAAATTGAAGTGTCTTGTAATTTGTGTGACAAGACAGGGTAATGTGGGGGGAACTGATGACCTGGAATCTTGAAGAGCAACAGAAATGTGATGTTGGGACTAATGATGTAGCGAATACATTTTCAAACGTTGTTATGGGCATATGTTTTTTCTAATGTTGTCTTTAATAATATAAATGTCATGGGCTTCCCTGAGGTGTGAAGCCTGAGGAATATTTTCAATATGCTATTGTTTGATTTGTTTTGGAAACCGTGCATTCAGAGTCAAAGGAAATACAAACATGGTGCAACTTGCTCTGTTGGCAGCCACGAAATATTTAATTTTATCAAAGAAATAAAGTAAGAACTGTGTGTTCTCACTAGTGTCCTCCTGTGTCTCACCATCCTGTTAAAAGAGCCCCATTGGCTGGTGGACGTGAGTGAAGTGGTACTTTCTCTTTCCTAACTCCACCTCCTCCTGTTCTTTAAAGTTAGGAGAAGCTGGCAGCGCCCGGGAGAGGCGATGCCGGGCTGGTGTAAGGATGAATTCCATGCCGGCCGAGAGCGGGGTGCGGTGTTCCGGCGGGGCTGGAGCCGCCCGGGCACCGCTGCCCCCCGAGCCCCGCACGCTCCCGAGCCGGCCTCGTTTCCTTTGTACAAATGGAAGCGCGTGAAAGCGGCACCGCGTTCTGTATTTACACGGCAAACACTGAGGAACCAGCACTGTTCCGCCTGTTACCTTTCTAACTTTCATGTAAATTTTAAATAAAAAACACGAAAGCCAGCGCGGCTGCTGTGGTGTGTGCGTGTGCTGCTCGCGGGCCCGGCGGCGCTGGGCCCGGCGCTCCGGACAGCTCCGGACGGTCACGGGGAAGCCGAAGCCCGGTGAGGATGGCGGTTCCCGGCCCCGGGAAGGGCATCCCCGCGGGCAGAGCTGCCCTTGGGGCAACCTCGGCTGTTCGGCAAGGCCTGGGGCAGG